TCCGTCCTGCACTTCCGTCACGGTGTTCAGAGAATCGTTCCCTGTACCAAATTCTCAAGATTTGAAGTGTTTTGAAACGGTGGATCACGACGGTTCGTCGTGCCTGTGACGGTCCGTCCTGCAGGTCCGTCACAGAGTTCAGAGAGTCGATTTCAGCACCCAAATTTCAGAATTTCTAAGTGTTTTGGGACGAGACACCCTCGACGGTCCGTCGCGCCCATGACGTTCCGTCGTCTCAGCCTGTTTTTTCAGAAATAAAATTTGCTGCTCAAAACGACTAAACAGGTCGTTACAACGAACGAGCATTATCTAGTTATATTAGATTCTTCTTGAACGTGGCTATCCAAGATATCATTCAAAATATTTATTTATCTAATACATTTATAATTTTAAAAATAATGAGTTTATAATTATATCTGTATGACACTCAAGAAGGTATGGCTTAGCCGTGCTTCTTCAAACGTAATCTCTTTCTCAATGACATATATGTATATACATGGCCAAAAAAAAAAAGATCTTGTTGAAAAAAAATATTTTTAGATGCATGATTTTCATAATTTTTCTTTTAAAAAAATAGACAAGGACAATTTTATTCTTTTGCTACTTTATCTCTGGGTTAGTTATTTGGTGTTGTAAAGCTAACAAAAAAAAAACGCGTTCACATGACCAACGGACTCTAGCACGTTCAAAATATGGATCATGTTTTTACCTTTAATCAAAATATGTAAAGTAGCAACTAGTAGGAACATTCCCTCTTAACACACTTTGTTCCACAAACTAAAAAGACAAAACATGAAAATATTTTTGTATATTCCTATCTTTTTCTTTGTCCCATTCTTTCCGTTTAGTTATATTGAATGTATTGTTTTAATTATTGTAATTCTAATTATTTATATGATTTGATGTAAATATTATGTATGAATAAATATTTATCAAGAGAAATTTATTGAATTACATTTGTTTTAAATTGTATTGCAACAAATAAGGTGAAAACTTTTTTCATCCTCGTAGAGTACCGTCAATTTTACCTACGGAACTCCAAGTGAAACAATAACACATCTTGTGAAATTAAAGACAATGATAGTTAAACCTTCTATCATTTTCTAATTCTTCGTGGACTTAGTTTGAGTCTCCAACTTATTTTTTAAAATTAAAATTGATATAACTTAACAGTTGATGAAATGAAGATTATTGACAACTAGATGTACATTTGATATATGAGGCAGAGTTCTACCAAAAATAGAAGCTTAAAAGTTTGATTTTATTGAATTTTAGAGATTTATAACGTTTATATAATTACCCAATTAGTAATTGAATAATAAGTGGTGGATATAAATTTGTTTGTTCAATTTTAAACACCTACTTTGAACTTGAAACTCGCATCATCAAAATCTTAAATTATGACACTAAAAATAATAAAACATGATGGAGATAAAATAAATTATTGTTTAGGATAATTATTGATGACTTAATTCATATATACTTATATATATATATGATAGAAATTCACAACCAAATGCCTAATCAAGTAATAGAAACAATTTTGTTACGCAAGTACAAATTAAGGGTATGTATTGATTCAAAAATTTAGTACATCGAATTGTTTTTAAATAAAACATTGCTATAAAATAATAAAAAGTTAGGTCCCAATTTGTTTTAAAAAAATGAATTAGAAATTCTCTCTTACACATCCAAACACATATTATTGGGAATTTGGTACCATATAAAGACAAACATTTTAGGCAGCAAATAAAATAGTTCTTGAAAACAATTAAGAAGGATGGAATTCAAGATTAAGCTTCCAAAAAACATATTTAACATGTAATTAATCAAATTATAAGCATACTTATCAACAATCAAAAGTGATTATCAAAGCTTAAAAGCCAACTTTAAAATTGACAAATTAATTAATATAATAAACATTGTCTTTTTTCTTTTCCTTTTTTTTTTAATTAGGAAACCCCGTAGAAGCAACATATTCTCTCACTTCTCTAGCAATAACACCTCTCATCACATCCCAAAATCCCGCCGGAAAACTCTCCGTTTTCTTCTCCGGCAACTCATCTCCGCTCATTCCCGGCGGCGCTAGTGACAAAGTCGTCATCGGATCATCAAATTCACCGCTACAATTATTCGTAACAGCGTAATTATTGTTATTGTTATTCACTTTTGGACTCTCATCCACATTCAAATACTCCATACACGACCCGAATCCAGATCCGGATCCGGATCCTGACCCATTAATTTTCACGTCAGAAAACCCAACGGGGTTTTGATTTTGCTGCTGAATTAATTGCTGATAACGCCTCTTTAATGTCGAATTCCAGTGATTTTTA